TTTTTCCGTCTTGACTTGTCAGTCGACAGGGTGTTCTTTCTTCAGCGCCGCATGCGGCTTTCACCGCACGCAACAGCGCTTCGATCTCATCGTCGTCTTGCCTGCATGAAGCCTTTCCCGGTCCACGTACCATGATTCTTGAACAACCCCCACACCGCCGTCTTCTCCTCCTCCTCCTCCCTCTGCTTGTCCGTGACCTTTCTCTTGCGCACGCCCACGGCCTTGGCCTCGACCTGGGTCGCCGCCTCGCCCGCCCGCGGCGAAGCAGACACGACGCGAGTGTTCGTCACCGTCCACGCGCCCGGCATGGCCATGTCGCCTCGGACCTCGGTCGGCACGGAGATGCCCATCTCCGCCAGCTGCTCCCTCTGCCTCGCCAGCTGCGCCGCCGTCGCCTGGCCCGAGGAGGCCGACGCCGACGCCGAGGACGACGCGGCCGCTGACGCCGAGGACGACGCCGCGCCGCCGCCGACGACGCCGTGAAGCCTGTCGACCTCGCGCCGCGCGCGCTCCCTGTCGCGCTCCTCGCGCTCGTGGCCGCGGTGGATGTCGCGCAGCGACCGCTTCAGGGCGCCCTGGTGGCGGCCCGTCGCCTCGTGGTTCTGGCGCTCGAGCTTCGTGTCGCGGACAAAGACGCTGCAGTGCTTGCACCAGTATTTCGGCGTGGATTTCCAGTATTCGGACATGGTGGGCGGGCCGCAGGCAGATGGCCTGCGTTCAGCTCGGGGTGGGATCGGCCGCGGGTGTCTGGTTTTTTCTCGTTTTCTTATGGAGAACTTTTACAGTGGGAGAGTTCGCTCGGTAGGTTGGGTTTCAGGGAGGGTGGTTAAAGGCAGGTTGTTGGAGGCAGGTTGTTGAAGGCAGGCTGCTGGAGGCAGGTGAAGCTGATGGTGATGGCCGGCAGAATGAATCGGCGGTTTGCATTGACTTGACCGCCTGCCCGAGAGCGGCGCGTGATGACGTAACAGCCTGACTGTCACTGATAAGCCGCTATCGCGATCCAGATCCCTTGAACGGTAGTAATATGGTAGTTGCACTGGCAATAGAATATGTACCAAAAATGACGACCAATTGAGCCTTCATTCATCCATCTCTCTCCAATGCATTTGGTCCAGCCCGAGAGACTAAACCCTAGTCAGGTCAGCGCGCTAGAGGGCGACGAGAAAGTGAGATAGGGGTGGTCGGCGGTTGGACTGGCCGGGTCCAAGTGAATGATGAGTGCTGCAGGCTGTCAAGAGATGGCCTCTGGGGTTGGCTCAGGCACCTAGGCACCTGGGTTGGCTCAGGCACCTAGACACCTGGGTTGGCAAGGAAGACCAAGCTGCAGAAGCCGAGCTCCATGGTACCATGTACTCTGTCACCCCTTGCACGGCAAGCGGGCAGAGGGCTGACGGGTTCTGCCGTGCGGGAAACAACTGTATGGCAAGAGAAGGCCATGCACTCGAGTCCGACGACGCGGGTGACCTAGAAACTTTCTGTCAGCTGTGTCGTGAAGCTGTGATACTATGCTTCACACCAGCTTCAACGAATAAAAGTAGATTCTTCTCGAATGTATCGCCGATGATCGAGTAAGCAGAATTTCGGGGCATTACATGGAGATGCGGTGTTGGGAGGGTTCCAATACTACCTAGGTAGGGGTCTGTCTGGATGATACCTGTGGTCAGCGCATGTACAGTGGCTTCATCACTCACGGCAAGCGGGCAGAATGGAATGCTGACAAAGGATAGTGGGATGCCGGCGAGCTCCCGCTGCAGCAGCCCCTGGCCACCCCGCAAGCTCGGAACCCACCGAGCCCTTGCGCCTTGCCCCTGGCCCTGAGCGCAGCACGCCTTGTCCAAGCAAGAACACGTCCACGCTGTCAAGTAAAGCGCCGACCCGATGAACGAACGCTCATCCTGACAGACAGCCTCACCGCTGGGACATCGGATGGGATGCCGTTGCTGTACGCCCTCTCCGGTCCAGTCGCTGATAAGCCGGATGGGATGCCGTTGCCGCGGCCCTGTACTCCCTCGCCGCGGCCCTGTACTCCTGCGCCGCAGCAAGCGAGTCCTTGATGTTGCGGAAACGAACTTCCCATCCACGGCGCGTCGCCCGTCTCCCTGGTGGTCGGCTGATGGGAACAGCGCAACTACATACACACAGTTCATGGTCTCCCGAGCTGCCGAAGAGATGGAGCTTCGAATCGCCCGATTGTCCCTTCTTATACCCCAGCGCCGCGCCAACCGCCAACTCGCGAGGCGTAATCCTACACGCATCTACGAGTCAGGCAAGGTCACTGTACATGTTCTGGCTTTCATGACTTGGACGGGCACCTCTCT